CTTTGGATCACAAGGCTCCAGGTCACGTTGTTTAAATATTACATAAATAGAGCAGTCCACCTCACTGACCCTTTACACCACCTGTACATCCTTGCATAGTCTGGCATGATGCAGCAGGAGACAAGGCCAAAGACACTGCTAAGAGAAGAGGTAAACACCAGCCATCGCTCCCTCATCATCCACAGTATAATTTCTTCTCTCTGTAGGTCACATGAAGGTCACTAAGACATGATTTTGCCCTTCAAAATCAACACTAACTGCTCCACACCACCTTGCACGAGCTGCCCTTGAAAATGCTCTGTAGGGGAGAGAATTGTCCCATCCTTGTGTGCAGGAACAAGATCCCTGGAAATCCAAGGGCAAGGTGGGAGGGAGTAAATGTCCTGGAAGGGGCAGGTCCTAATGCCCAGCACAGCCCAGACCAGCCTGACCTGGCTGTAAAGGAATGAGGTCCCTCTCTCAAATGCTGTCACAAACCAAAACACATTTGTCCCATGGGTTGACCTCACTGATGACATCCCAATTCTCATAGGCATTTGTGGTTTATTCTGCTTTTTCTGACACACACCTTCCAAGCAAATCCTCCCAAAGACCAACTCTCACTTTAAAGCTGCTGCCAAGGTTAGATGGAGACAGGCACAGGAGCAGGATATGGAATTGCAGAACTGCAGGAAGGAAAACAGTCCATAGCTCATGACTTGCCAGGTTGGGCCAGGCAAATGAATATTCTGATTTTCATACAGGTACCTTGAGAGAGTAAAAGGTCAATACATTTGTTCTGAAAATTGAATGTATCCAGGTCGTGAACTGCTCTCGACACCTCATCTTCTTATCCTTCACCATTCATCCTGTCCTGGTTTCACTCAGAGCCCAGCAATGAGACCCCTGAGTGTGACCTTGCTGGGCCCAGCTGAGACGAGCGCTACAGATGAATGAAACACAGGACAATGCAGAGCATGACAAGAGTCCCCACATCACAGGGATTGCATTCCCATCTCCAGCAGGAAAGGCCTGACATATAAACTGGTTTAGAATGTTGGCAACAGGGCCCGGGAAGGATAGAACGTGACAGAAGGGGACACCCATCACGCCCAGAAGAGCTGCAAAGCCCAGATGAGCCTGATGTGGCTGGGGAGGGAATGAGGACCCTCTCCACAAAACACTCACAAAATACAGCACAACAGTGCTATTGGGTGAGTTCAGTGTTGACACCTGACTGCCCGAACCTCTGGTCAAGTCTACAGCCCTCCACAAAAAAACATCATCATCCTCAACAACCTTAGGTCTGTAATATTCGCATTTAAAAGCTGCCGCCAAGGTCAGATGGACTCAACAGTAGAATGTGACAGAGCAAAATTGCGGGATTGAAAACACTCCCTCACCTCAGGACTCACCACTCTGAGCCAACCAGGAACTGGAACCTGCAAAATGCCGAAGGCTATGGAACAAGGATGTCCCACCCCTCCAGAACCAGCATAAAAGCCGGCCCAGAGCCTCTCTCCCGCACACACTTCTCCTGACACCTTCTCCTTCTCCTGCCAACAACCAGGTGAGTCTCAAGCCCCTGACCCTCCAGCTCCTGCACCCTTGGCCCCTCTCTTCCAGCGCACTGAGCCCCAGCCTCAGCAGCCCTCACGCCTCCCCACAGCCCACAGCAGCCTCCACATTCCATCACCCTCCTGCATCACTGCCCTTCAAAGATCCACACCTCTCTTCCTACCTCATCCATTCTCTTCCAGGCACCCTCAACTCCAAGCCCATGGCCTGCAACACCCTCTGCGGATCCACCTGCGGACCCACCCCGCTGGCCAACAGCTGCAACGAGCCCTGTGCCCTGCAATGCCAGGATTCCCACGTCATCATCAACCCTTCCCCTGTGCTGGTCACCCTGCCAGGACCCATCATGACCTCCTTCCCCCAGAACACCGCCGTCGGATCCACCTCCTCGGCTGCTCTGGGCAGTGAACTCAACGCCCAGGGACAGCCCATCTCTGGTGGCTTTGGCTTTGGCCTTGGCTACGGGCTGGGAGGCCTGGGCTGCTATGGCAGGAGGGGTGGCTACATCTGCTAAGGGCCCTCAGCACCACTCCTGACACCACCAGCTCTGGCCTCTGGCTACAGCTCCTGCAAGCAAAGCCCCTCGGCTGGTGGCCTCTCAACTTCACACCTGATTCCTTCAGCTTCTTCCTTCTCATCAGTTTTTCACTTCAATAAATTTTTCTTGCATCACAACCTCAGTTGCAGCCTCTTTGTTTTGAATTCCAATGGTCTCACATCCTCACCCTGTGCAATGGCAGCACTCAAACATTATGTCGCATGGAAAGGAAGCAAAGAACATTTCTTACCACATGTGTCCCCACCAGTAACAACCAACGCTGACATGGCAAACAGGAGAGAGGGGGAACCTTCCAGAACATGACACACGGCCATCACCTCATCTACCAAAGGCTTTGACATAACAATTCTGACTTGGGCACTGCTATGCCAAAGTCACTCTACCCAGGCATAGACTTGAAAAATTCTCTTCCCAGCAGCACTCTTGAGTCCTCCCCATGAACAGGGGAACAACATCAAACACTTGGGCAGGAACTCCTGAGTGCCAATGCTTCCATTCCTCTTCCTCAGGCAGCCCAGCAGGATTTCCAGGACTATGGCCAGGTCAGTTTTGGACCTCCAAGAAGAGAGACCACATTGTCTCTTACACTCTGTGACCTTCCACACACACTGAAAAATTCTGCCTTCCTTTGCACATGGAATTCCATCTATTTCCTCACTTTTGCACATGCCCTATTCCTTTCATGTGTGCAGTGCTGACAACAGCTGGGCTCCCACACACTGCTGACACCCCCTGCCCAGCCTTGTCTCTCCAGAGTCTCAGCTCTCTCAGTCTCTCCTCTAGCAAAGATCCACCAGAAATTGAAGTGTCTAGTGGCCCTCAACTGCTCTTGGTCCACTATCCCCTTGTTCTTCTCCACATCTCGAGGCCAGAGCTGTCCACACCACCCACATCGAATCTCACCGCTGCTCTAAAGAGAGGAAGGGCCACCTCTCACAATTTCATGGCAACAATTTTCAGAACTCTGCCTTGGACACTGGTGACACCCCACTGAAGTAATTCCCCACTGCAACCTCCTGGTCACTCCGATCTCAATCAGCACCACAGGGTCCCGCTCACAAAAGTCACTTTCCAGAATCTCAGTCCCAGGCATTATCCTGGGCCAAGTGCAGTTCCTGTCCAGATGCAGAACTTCACGTTCCCCTTGCTTGAACTTTGGGAAGATTCCTTTAACCCGTAGTCTTCAGTTCCTTCTGACCAGTGCAACAGAGAAGTGTGGCCTCAGACACTCCATCACCCTCCACCTTGCTGAAGGGGCAACGCTCTGACTGCCCAGAAGGAATGGAAGAGTCCAGGTGCTCACACCTGGCACAGATGCAAAGCCCAGACCAGCCTGACACACCTGCAATAGTTTGGGACCCCTCCAAAAAACACACCCACAAACCCAAAACCATGAGTCCCACAGGCTGACCTCATTGATGACACCACACCTGCCAAAATCTTGGTCACGTCTTCAGTCCCATTTGACACGGACCATCAACACCAGCCTTGGGTTTCAAACACTCACACTTTAAAGGAGGAATGACCGTGATGGAAGGGGCAGCTCCTCATGCACAGCACAGCTGCAAAGCCCACACCAGCCTGACATGGCTGCGGTGGAATTGGGGCCCTCTTCACAACACACCCACAAGAAAAAAAAAAAACAAACATACGAGTGCCACAGAATGACCTCACTGATGACACCCATGTTTTCCTTAGGCTTTTGTTGTATATTTTGGTTTCTCTGACACACATCTTCCAAAAAAATCCTCCCAAATACCAACTCTCACTTAAATGCTGACACACAAGGGCACACGGACATGACCTCAAGAGCAGGACATGACACTGCAAAGTTTTGGGGAGGAAAGCACTTCCCACATCATGAATTGCAAGGCTGTGTCAGACAAAACTGATGTTAAGACTTCCATTCTGGAACCTGTAGAGCCTAACCAGGTCAACCCTCTTTTTGTGAAAAGTGAACGTCTGTAGTTCCATCAGCTGCTCCTCACACATCTTCTTCTCCATATCCATCACCAGCTATGGATGAATCAACACAAGACCTTGGGGAGTATGGGAGAAATCCATAAATTTCTTCTTCACACATCTTCTTCTCCATATCCATCACCAGCTATGGATGAATCAACACAAGACCTTGGGGAGTATGGGAGAAATACACAAATCACAGGAATTGCTTCCCAGTTTTAGTGAGAAAGGGCTGGAATACGGAAAAGTTTAGAAATTGCACAACACGGTCACGAGACAGAAAATATCATGGAAGGGGACACCTGCAATCTCCAGGAGAGCTGCACAGCCCAAACAAGCCTGACGTGTCTGTGGGGGAATGAGGCCCCTCTTCACCACGAACCCACAAAACCACAGCACACCACTGCCATGATGATGACATCCAACCTCTCCAAACTTCTGGTCACGTCTTCAGCCCTCATAGACAAACAACTTCCACAGCAGCCTTTGGTCTCTAATGCTTGCATTTAAAAGCTGCCGCCAAAGTCATGGCCTCAAGCGCAGGACATGACACTGCAGAGTTGTGGGGAGCAAAACACTCCCCACCTCAGCACTCATGAGGCCTCCAAAATGCCCCAAGGCCATGGGACAAGGCTGTCCCACCCCTCCAGAACCAGCATAAAAGCTGGTCCACAGCCTCTCTCCCTCACACACTTCTCCTGAAGCCTTCTCCTCCTGCCGACAACCAGGTGAGCCTCAAGCCCCTGAACCTTCTGCTCCTGCACCCCTGGCCCTTCTCTTCCAGCCAGCTCAGCCCCAGCCTCAGCAGCTCTCACGCCTCCCCACAGCCCCACAGCAGCTTCCACACTCCTTCACCCTCCTGCTTCACTGCCCCTCACATCCCCTGTCCTACCTCAACCATTCTCTTCCAGGCACTCTCCACTCCACACCCATGGCCTGCAACACCCGCTGCGGATCCACCTGCGGACCCACCCCGCTGGCCAACAGCTGCAACGAGCCCTGTGCCCTGCAATGCCAGGATTCCCACGTCATCATCAACCCTTCCCCTGTGCTGGTCACCCTGCCAGGACCCATCATGTCCTCCTTCCCCCAGAACACCGCCGTCGGATCCACCTCCTCAGCTGCTGTCGGTAGCGAACTCAACGCCCAGGGACAGCCCATCTCTGGTGGATTTGGCTTTGGCCTTGGCTATGGGCTGGGAGGCCTGGGCTGCTATGGCAGAAGGGGTGGCTACATCTGCTAAGGGCCATCAGCACCACCCCTGACACCACCAGCTCTGGGCTCTGCCAACAGCTCCTGCAAGCAAAGCACCTCGGCTGGTGGCCTCTCAACTTCACACCTGATTCCTTCAGCTTCTTCCTCCTCATCAGTTTTTCACTTCAATAAATTTTTCTTGCATCACAACCTCAGTTGCAGCCTCTTTGTTTTGAATTCCAATGGTCTCACATCCTCACCCTGTGCAATGGCAGCACTCAAACATTATGTCACATGGAAAGGAAGCAAAGAACATTTCTTAGCACATGCGTCCCCACCAGTAACAACCAACGCTGACATGGCAAACAGGAGAGAGGGGGAACCTTCCAGAACATGACACACGGCCATCACCTCATCTACCAAAGGCTTTGACATAACAATTCTGACTTGGGCATTGCTATGCCAAAGTCACTCTACCCAGGCATAGACTTGAAAAATTCTCTTCCCAGCAGCACTCTTGAGTCCTCCCCATGAACAGGGGAACAACATCAAACACTTGGGCAGGAACTCCTGAGTGCCAATGCTTCCATTCCTCTTCCTCAGGCAGCCCAGCAGGATTTCCAGGACTATGGCCAGTTCAGTTTTGGACCTCCAAGAAGAGAGACCCCATTGTCTCTTACACTCTGTGACCTTCCACGCACACTGAAAAAATTCTTCCTTCATTTACACATGGAATTCCATCTATTTCCTCACTTTTGCACATGCCCTATTCATTTCATGTGTGCAGTGCTGACAACAGCAGGGCTCCCACACACTGCCAACACCCCCTGCCCAGCCTTGTCTCTGCAGAGTCTCAGCTCTCTCAGTCTCTCCTCTAGCCATGATCCACCAGAAATTGAAGTGTCTAGTGGCCCTCAACTGCTCTTGGTCCACTATCCCCTTGTTCTTCTCCACATCTCGAGGCCAGAGCTGTCCACAGCACCCACATCGAATCTCACCACTGCTCTAAAGAGAGGAAGGGCCACCTCTCACAATTTCATGGCAACAATTTTCAGAACTCTGCCTTGGACACTGGTGACACCCCACTGAAGTAATTCCCCACTGCAACCTCCTGGCCACTCCGATCTCAATCAGCACCACAGGGTCCCGCTCACAAAAGTCACTTTCCAGAATCTCAGTCCCAGGCATTATCCTGGGCCAAGTGCGGTTCCTGTCCAGATGCAGAACTTCACGTTCCCCTTGCTTGAACTTTGGGAAGATTCCTTTAACCCGTAGTCTTCAGTTCCTTCTGACCAGTGCAACAGAGAAGTGTGGCCTCAGACACTCCATCACCCTCCACCTTGCTGAAGGGGCAACGCTCTGACTGCCCAGAAGGAATGGAAGAGTCCAGGTGCTTACACCTGGTACGGATGCAAAGCCCAGACCAGCCTGACACACCTGCAATATCTTGGGACCCCTCCAAAAAACACACCCACAAACCCAAAACCATGATTCCCACAGGCTGACCTCATTGATGACACCACACCTGCCAAAATCTTGGTCACGTCTTCAGTGCCATTTGACACGGACCATCAACATCAACCTTGGGTTTCAAACACTCACACTTTAAAGGAGGAATGACCGTGATGGAAGGGGCAGCTCCTCGTGCACAGCACAGCTGCAAAGCCCACACCAGCCTGACATGGCTGCGGTGGAATTGGGGCCCTCTTCACAACACACCCACAAGAAAAAAAAAACAAACATATGAGTGCCACAGAATGACCTCACTGATGACACCCATGTTTTCCTTAGGCTTTTGTTGTATATTTTGGTTTCTCTGACACACATCTTCCAAAAAAATCCTCCCAAATACCAACTCTCACTTAAATGCTGACACACAAGGGCACACGGACATGACCTCAAGAGCAGGACATGACACTGCAAAGCTGTGGGGAGGAAAGCACTTCCCACATCATGAATTGCAAGGCTGTGTCAGACAAAACTGATGTTAGGACTTCCATTCTGGAACCTGTAGAGCTTAACCAGGTCTACCCTCTTTTTGTGAAAAGTGAACGTCTGTAGTTCCATCAGCTGCTCCTCACACATCTTCTTCTCCATATCCATCACCAGCTATGGATGAATCAACACAAGACCTTGGGGAGTATGGCAGAAATCCATAAATCACAGGAATTGCTTCCCAGTTTTAGTGAGAAAGGGCTGGAATACGGAAAAGTTTAGAAATTGCACAACACTGTCACGAGACAGAAAATATCATGGAAGGGGACACCTGCCATATCCAGTAGAGCTGCACAGCCCAAACGAGCCTGACGTGGCTGTGGGGGAACGAGGCCCCTCTTCACCACGAACCCACAAAACCACAGCACACCACTGCCATGATGATGACATCCAACCTCTCCAAACTTCTGGTCACGTCTTCAGCCCTCATAGACAAACAACTTCCATGGCAGCCTTTGGTCTCTAATGCTTGCCTTTAAAAGCTGCCACCAAAGTCATGGCCTCAAGCGCAGGACATGACACTGCAGAGTTGTGGGGAGCAAAACACTCCCCATCTCAGCACTCACGAGGCCTCCAAAATGCCCCAAGGCCATGGGACAAAGCTGACCCACCCCTCCAGAACCAGCATAAAAGCCGGTCCACAGCCTCTCTCCCTCACACACTTCTCCTGAAGCCTTCTGCTCCTGCTGACAACCAGGTGATTCTCAAGCCCCTGAACCTTCTGCTCCTGCACCCCTGGCCCTTCTCTTCCAGCACGCTCAGCCCCAGCCTCAGCAGCCCTCACACCTCCCCACAGCCCCACAACAGCCTCCACACTCCATCACCCTCCTGCATCACTGCCCCTCACATCCCCTGTCCTGCCTCACCCATTCTCTTCCAGGCACCCTCCACACCACACCCATGGCCTGCAACACCCGCTGCGGATCCACCTGCGGACCCACCCCGCTGGCCAACAGCTGCAACGAGCCCTGTGCCCTGCAATGCCAGGATTCCCATGTCATCATCAACCCTTCCCCTGTGCTGGTCACCCTGCCAGGACCCATCATGACCTCCTTCCCCCAGAACACCGCCGTCGGATCCACCTCCTCAGCTGCTGTCGGTAGCGAACTCAACGCCCAGGGACAGCCCATCTCTGGTGGATTTGGCTTTGGCCTTGGCTATGGGCTGGGAGGCCTGGGCTGCTATGGCAGGAGGGGTGGCTACATCTGCTGAGGACCCTCAGCACCGCTCCTGACCTCACCAGCTCTGGGCTCTGGCCACAACTCCTGCAAGCAAAGCACCTCAGCTGGTGCTCACCCTACTTGAACCTGACATTGGATCCCTTCCACTCACTGCTCCTTTCTACTCATTCTTTTCCCTAAATAAACTTTTCCTGCAGCACAGCCTCAGATGTCTCTTTTTCTTATGCCAGACTTCTTGCAGCTACACCCAGCACAGATACTTCGCTCCCAGCCTTAATAGCCGCAGTCCCTGTGACACCATCTTCACTTTCAGAGGGTGCCAGGACCACCCAAGGAAGCTCCCATTTCCTTGTCCCCTTTTCCTGCATGGGTCTCAGTTTACCAGGGTTTCCAGGCCACCACGTCCCTTTCTGCAAGTTCCTCGGTGGACCCAGGTTATTGTTGCCTTGTCCACCTGGCTGGACATTCCCCATTCCACCTCCCTGGGAGTCTCCAGGCCGGGATCTCACCTTGTTTGAGGTCTTCAGCTGATCCCTGGTGGAGATCCTCCTTTCCCCCCTCACTGCAGGGTCCCATTAAGAGAGCCTCCAGGGCACCTTCCTCCCTGTTCTGGGTCCATGGATCATCTGTGCTGGTGACCCCAAGCCACCAACACTCTGCTCTGAGGTCGCACATCACATCCCATTATGACTTGACTCCCACCAAGTCACTGTGGATTCCTGAGGCGCACCATGGAGACCTGACAACAAAGTGCAGTAGCGCTGTTGTGACCCTGCTGAGATGATGGTACCCCTTGTGCCACCTCCCTGCCTCTTTGCCTCACAGTTTTGACACTCCAACACGGATTTTTGGGTCATAAAGATCTTTGCTCTCCCCAAATTGCTTCTCACCAGTGACGTTCACTCTTTCTTCTCCTTTGATGTGTTTTTTTCCTCTGTACAAAGGCTCCCGGCAAACAGGTGAGCTCTGGGCTGACACGTGAGTTCAAAGTCTCCAGGGCTATTGGCAGCACTAAAATATTCATCAAAAGCAAATTAAAATAACATCTCTGGAGCAGCTGGAGCCCAGAGAGACGGAGAACTCCAAGCACAGCTGGATTCGGATTTGGTTCAAAGAGGAAGAGTTTGCTGAGGAACAAAGCCCTTCCTTAAAACCAAAACTACACAGCCCCTGCAGCTGAGCTGGGAAAGGAGAAGGAATAGTTTGGAACTGTTTGGCCTTTTTATTTCTCGATTTAGTTAAATAAAGCATTTCCCCTTGAGGCACCAACTTCAGCTCGTCTTAAAATAAAGTCTAACCCATAAAAAGACAAATATAAGTAATCCGTGCCTCTTATACTCATTCACCTTGGAGTTCATCCAGCTTGACATCAACACCTGGACCGAAACAAGAGCAGGATTTCACCTTCCCAAGGTCCTGGGACATGCCCAAGCAGCCAGGCCCAGCGGGATGTCTGCCTCATCCCAAACCTGCGCCAGAGACGCTCTTTTTGGGCACAGTCAGCTCCCGTGGGTTCCAGGAAACACTGGGAGGAGGCTCAGATCCACATCCACAGTGCCCTGGGCCCACATTCCTGTCTCACATCCACCCTGGGAAATCCAGGTCCCTTGGGTTGCCCCCCTGCCTGGATCTCTGCACTCCACCCAAGGAGACCCCAGTGGGATGTGCTGGAAGAGGTGGCATCTCTTCCAGTGCCTCTCCCAATGGGATTCACACTCACCTAGCCAAAATCTCACTCTCAGAATAACCCCAAACCCCATCATGGTGCAGTGGTAGGTTCATCTCCCTCCTCCAGAGGACTGGACTCGACAAGACCAAATCCAAAATGATGGTGGAAAGGACATCCTTGTGCAGCAGCTGCTCCCAATCCCACAAAGAAAGTTTCTTGGAATATCTGTGGCCATCACCCCCATCCCCATCCCAGTCTTCCCCTCTGTGTTTTTGGATAATTCCCACTGCCAAAGGGCTGCGCGTTGTGGGGAGCAACCCCCAATCCCTATGGAAACTGGCACAGGCCATCCCATGGGACAAGGCCTGGAAAAGGGGTCACTGCTGGTGTGCTTCTCCCTAAAAAAGAGCCACAAAGCTGCAATTTTAGCAGGGAAGAGATGCTTAGAGCTGTCTCACCTGGGCTCCTGGAGCTTGGCTTCATCCTTGAACAGCTTCCACCTGGGATAGGCTGTACCGAGTTGCTCCAACCTCATTCAGGAATCTCATTCCCATCTGCCCCACTTCCCTACGAGGCACGGGGAAGGCAGAGCAGGGAGTGGGGCTGGACCCAAAACCGGGCCCGTTCCAGAGAAATAGGTCACCCCACAAGGAAGCTTCGTTACGGAAACGACGCCTGACACGAAGCAGCGGTTCTCCGACGGGATCTGGCCAAGCCACCCAAGCTTTATCCTGCCGGCTGGAAGGTCCTGGGATGTCCTCTGGATCGTGTCACGCAGACGCCCTGCCCAGATGAGCTAATGGGTCTGCTCCAGCCTTTGATCCTCAAATCCCAGGGCCTTGTTAGATAACATCAGCAGCCTGGGTGATATTTCATTAACAAACAAGTCCATCCCATGTGGTCGCCGCAACTTTATCCCTTTCCCCTGTGATCTTCCCTCGTGTTCCAACATTTCTTTGGTAATTAGACCCAGAATTAGCATATTTAAGCTCTGAAATTACTACATTTAATGCAACACCGTGGTTATTCGAGTGCTGTCACAGCAGCTCTCGGCTGCGCCACCTCCCAGCAATTCCTTGGCCGAAGCACGGGTTTATCCTTAATTAGTCTCCCAAAATTTGCAGGAGGCAGCAGGAAGATCTTATTCTCCCACCAGCACATGGAAAATCTTCCTTGGCTTCCCCCCCATCCCTGGGAGTGTTCAAGGCCACGTTGGAGCAACCTGGTCTAGTGGAAGGCGTCCCTGCCCATGGCAAGGTGTTGGAATGGGATGATTTTTATTTATGGGAATGATTGTATTCCAACCCAGACCCTTTTACTCCATAATTTCGCCGTGAAGTGAGGTGGAAGCATGGACGCAGCTGGATCTGACTCATCCCAACACCAGCGTGAGGTTTTCTTCTTGCCAAACCTCAGTGTCTCGTGGAGGATGCAGGACTGACGTGGAGTTAGCTGGCGTGGAGAAGGAGCTCCAGTGTCCATCGCTGGCTCCGTGGGTGAGATCAGCCAGGGAATCCTGTAAAACATCCAGTGGGAACAACACCAAGACCCCTGGGAGCGGGATTTTGGAGCTGGGAAAGGCCTGGGCACATTCTGGGACTCAGCCAGCTGGGAGAGGGGATGGGCACTTCCAGGGGACAGAGGCACAAGGTGACATCTTTTAATATGCAAATGACCCCTCTGCCACCACCAGTTCCCAGCAAGGAGGTCCTCAAGGGTTCAGCCTTCCCTGAGACTTTCCCAAAGGAAAAGGGCACATTTCCAGGTCTCAGCCAGGAGGAAAGGAATGAAAAACTCTCATTCTATTGCTCCTTTGTACTGGGGCTATCCAGGGCTTTGGTGGGAGGAATGTGGGAATTCCTGGCTGGGTCTCTCTTAATTCCACTTTCAAAAGTTTAATTTAGAGCAAACCCCTGCCTTTACCTCGCAAAAATCCCGAAGGAAAAGCCAGCTGGATGTGGGGGTGGAGGGGATGCCTTCAAAACCATCCCCCACACGCAGGAAAGCATTTTTAATCTCGGTTTAAGTGCATTAAAAGTGATTAAAACGTTTTCACATGGAAATCCCTTTTGATGAGCCACTTTGGCAGGGGGGGCACCTAGGAACCCCCTTTCCCTGCACCCCCTTCCTTTCCTGCACCCTTTTCCTTGTTTCTGCACCCCTTCCCATGAACTCCCTTAAAACCTCTGCATCCCCTTCCCATCCACCCTTCCCTGTCCCTGCACTCCCATTTCCTTCCCCCCTTCCTTTTCCCTGCACGTCCTTCCCTCCCCCTGCACCTCATTTCCCCAGACGCTTCTCTTCCCTTGCACCCCTTCCCCTTATCCCTCTTCCCAAAATCTCCTCTGCGCCCTCTCATTTCCCTTGCTCCCAGCTACGAACTACATTTCCCGACGAGCAAAGCGGCAGCGTCCGGTGACGGCGGCGGAAGAAGCCGAGCGCAGCCGAACCCTCACCGGGCCGGGACGAACCCAGCCGAGCCCTCTACGAGCTGACCCGAATTTAGCCGAGCCGAGCACAGCCGAACCCAGCCGAGACTTCACGAAGCACCGCCGAGAAGACCCGAGCCCAGCCGAACACAGCCGAGGCTATACCGAGACGAGCCGAACACAACCGAGCCGAGCCGAGAGCGGCCGAACTCAGCCGAGCGGATCCGAGCGCGGCCGAGTCCAGCCGAGGGTGAGACGCGCCCCTCACGCCGTGAAGGGACATTTGAGGGGACAGGAGCCCCCCGAGACCGGTGGGGAGGAGAAGCGGGGGGTCCCCAAAGTGGGGGGACAGGCCGGTGGGGAGGGCAGGGGCACGGGAGGTTGTGGGTTGTGGGTTGGGAGGCGCTGTGTGTGAGGGTGTGCGGGGAGATGGGGGTGCAGTGGTGGGATTTGGGGTGCAGGGGAGGTGTGTGGGGGGGTTAGGACTGGGTTCAGAGCTGGGATTTGGGGTGCGGTGCTGAGGTTTGAGGGGCAGGGCAGGCGTGGGGTGCGACCCTGGGATTTGGGGTGCAGGGAAGGGTTTAGGTTGCAAACACAGGATTTGGGGTGCAGGGGGAAATTTGGGGTTCAGGGGGAGATCTGCGGTGCAGAGGGAGATTTGGGGTACAGAATGAGAATCTGGGGTGCAGGGGGAGATTTGGGCTGCAGAGATAAGATTTGGGGCTCAGGAATAGATCTGGGATGCAGCCCTGAGGTGCAGGGGGAGATTTGGGGTGTGGGAGGTGATTTTGGGGGTGCAGAAGGAGATTTGGGGCACACACCTGGGGGTTCAGGTGCCACTCCCTTTCCAGAGGCTGGGCCAGCGCCACGTGGCAGCCCTGGCCCAGGTGGCCTCCAGCTGAGGAGTTCCAGCCCTATCACAGCCAAACAAGC